CATCCCTAGTCCATCCCTAGTCCATCCCTAGTCCATCCCTAGTTTATTCCTAGTCCATTCCTAGTCCAGACTGACAGATCTCATGGTTCTGGTTAGAAGTACAGTTGTCAGTTTTCCTCGTCAGCCGACCGTCAGTAACCCAGAATCATTAACTCAGAGCATGTTTTCTAAAATAATAACCAAAAGTACTTCATTCAGTCGTTTGTGAAGCCAGCAGCGCCACCATCAGGTTAGCGTGACGTGAACAGTGTTCCTCAGCAGCCTGCAGAAGCAGGACAACAGTGAGAAGCTCAGGTTTTCCTGAAGGAGTTCTGATCTCAGCAAACAATGAGGTCTGAAACCCTGAGTTCTAGTCGCTGACGTTGTTTACCTCCTTACGCTGACGTCCTCAGACTTGTGCGACTCGCTCTGGTGTGTTTCAGGTGGTGATGAAAACTGTGAACCAGCTGAGCGCCATCGCTCCTCTCAGTCACGTGATGCTTCTTGCTCACCAGCGGCATTCTGGGAAGGTTCTGTGTGCCTGTCAGGTTCCCAAGGTAACCACCACTCACCTGTCAATGACATCACAGGGGGCGGGGCCTGTTTGCACGCTAGACTGGTCAAGTCAGTATCGTGAAAAACTACAGATGAGCTGAAGAGATTTTCAACAGCAAATGAAGATCTGATTAATCCTTCATACAAAGAACTGTTGAAGCTAGTTAGCAGCGTTAGCCGACCAGTAGCAGCGTTAGCAGACTGTTAGTGATGCTAGCTGGTTAGCGGAGCTGTGGAGTGACTGTTCAATATGAAGGTTAAGATCCTACAATAATTACAGTAGTTTATAAACTGTTATATTTTATAGAATGATGTTTTCGACCAGATCACCTGACTGACTTACAATATGATCAGAAAACTCAACCGGTGATCAGCAGGTTGGACACGTTCAAACAACATGATAAAGATTCATCACGTCATCGTGTAAGAGACACAGGAAGTGCTCGGATTAATCAGTAATGACTGAACTCTGTCCGCAGGACTCGTTGTCGCTCGCAGCCTCTGATTGGGCGGTGGCGGTCTGTCATCACCTCGGGGGGAGCGCAGGGGGTTCAGCGCTGGTCGCCAGGGGAACCGGTAGCAGCAGTGACATCAGCGAGGCCCTGAGGTGGGCCGAGGAGTTTGCCCGCCAGAAAACACGGCGATGATGTCATAGACTGTAGGCCCCGCCCACAGCAGCCTCTTGTGATTGGAGGACAGATGTCAGGTGTATTTTAAACATTTCTTTGTTTTAGAAGGAATAAAAACACTCAGTCACTCTTTATTCTCTTTATTCTCTGAACCAGTGGCACAAAGCACCAGGTAGACAACAGGGAGCAATCAGGGCAGGGGGCGGGGCTATAGAGAGCCACTCTGAGCCACCACTGTTTCCAGAACCAGAACCAGGAGCAGATTCCTCAGAGCAGAGACACGTTGAGCCACTGCAGGAGAACCAGACACACAGATGTTAGGGTTCGTTACTAAAGTAGAGCTGTTCTGGTCACTGAGCTCACGGTGAAGCTGTTTGAACCGGTTCCAGGACCGGTACCGTGACCGGTCCTACTGACTGTCTTCAATACACCTGAAGAAGCAGCGCTCTCTGCTCATGTTGTGAAGTGGAGCTAAGCCTAAAGACAACAGGAACATTTCCACCATCGGTCCTCTGATCAGCCTTTGAGACTTTTCCTGATTAGGAACCAATCAGACGTATTGATCAGTTTCAGGTGTGATTGGATGAGTGGGCGGAGCCACAGGGCGTCTGTAGATGTTCTAAGTAAACTAGTTTCGTACCTCCAGTATGTTGAGCGTCACGGTTCCTGAGTTGTCTTTGTCCAGCGTGTTGAAAGTGTCTGAAAGAGAAGAAGCAGCAGCATGAGGACGAGCTGCAGACGTCCTCCTGACCAGCCAGACGACGAGGACTCACCGAACATGGTCTCCAGACGGACCAGACAGGACACAAAGTTGTCGAAGTCAACGGTGAGATCTTGTTCACTGTAGCGAGCGACCAGGACCTGATGGAGAGGGCTGTTGAGACTGAACCCTGCAAGAGAGGCAGTCCAGATGTTAAACACTGGACCTGATGGCGTCTCCTCATCTCTGAATGTTCCCTGTTGGTCTACAGAGTCAGAACCAGGAGGACGACGGTTCTGGTTCTACAGGATCTTGTTAGGCCAGAGTTTGTTTTTTTGCCGACTGTCCAATGAGACGTAATTTTGACTGAAAACCACGTCATAGCTCAGTAGTTGAAGGACCACTGGGAAGTGGACTCTGATGGGTTCTGGGGTTCTGACGGTAACAGTTTTATGAATCAAACTAGTGAACATCCATGCACGTGGACGTAGAAGAACACTGAGAGCTGCTGACTAGCAGCAGGTTCTGAGCATCAGCTCTGTCCTCCTCCTCCTCCGTTAAAGTCCACCTGAAGGTTCTCTGTTTGGGACACTGATCCCAAATGGAGCTGAAGTGTTTCCACATCGGGACTTCGGGGAGCAGAGCAGTACTTCAACAGAATCGGGGGTTAAATTTACATCAGATGCAAAGCTTTCTGGTCAGCAGAACCAGTCTTTAGCACAGTTTGCTAACATCAGCTAGCTGCGGTTGCAGTCAACTACTTGTGCCATGCTGGCGTAGCTTAGCTCGCTACATTTAGCTCCAGTGTAGAGGACCCACCAGCTGAGCACCAAGCAGCTCGCCCAGCAGAGGGAAATCTACAGGTTGTTTAAAATCACTGAGTTTTACCAGCTTCCTCCACAGCCGCCCTCATCTCCGTGGAGCTCATCGTCCCAGAACTATCCACGTCTCTCTCGCGGTAGACTTTCTGTAACAACAACAACAGAGTCTGAGAGAAGAGCTGCAGATCTGTTATGAGAAATGTGGATGTTTGAACATTAAAGCAGGTGAACAGGTTCCAGTGGACCATACATGAAGTCCTACACCTGTAAGTGTGCAGAACATGGGCTCTGTGATGGTTCCGGTGAAACTCACCAGGTAGTTCTCGATTTTGGTCCACAGCACTTTAAACTCCACCAGACCCAGTTTAGCGCTGCCGTCTTTCTGCAGACCAGTTCAGGAGCTGCTGCAACTCAGATTTACATCCGTTCATTCTGCTTACAGGAAACTGTCACAATAAGAGTCCTACTACCATCGGCACAGAGACATTTCAAACTAAAAGCTCTACTGAAGAGACATTGTGTTGGCTGTGTTCGGCCGACTGCCACAGGTAAAAGATGTGTGGCGCTACTTTCAGCGGCGGAAGGATACGTCCAGCAGGTTGACCATGTTGCGGCAGGTTGAGAGGCTGAAGCCGCTGGTCTTGATGTCGGTTCCTGTTGCAGAGACACAGTGAACAGGTGAACAGGTGAGTCCTGCTCACAGCAGGTACATGTTCAGGTGGTGATTCTTACGTTTGGTCACCACTTTGTTGAGGATCTTCATCAGCTCGAAGGCACTGATCTCACAGTCCTGCAGAGACAAACAGTCAGTCTGACCACAGGCCTGTTCAGGTGTTCACATACAGGTGCTCTGTGATTGGCTCACCCCTCCTGCCAGCTGTCCAAACAGACCTCTGAACCGGTCGTCCACGTCGTCCTCGTCGATCTCGATCTGCAGATTAAACTCGGGTCAGATGTGAATAACTGATTGATGCTCAGTGAGCAGCACGACTGAGTCCGAAGCTCAGAGTTTAACGTTCTAAAGGTTCATTTACTACAAAGCAGCAGCCTGAAGGACCGAAGCATGAGGAGAAGTTCCTCTAAGCTCAGAGAGCGAATCAGTCCTCAGCAGGAACAAACATGGTCACCTTTTCCAAAGACCTGGTTTTAGGCCAGTGTTAAGCTGGTTCTGGGCTGGTTTAAGCTGCATGAAGTCAGAAGTTTTAACTGTGAATCTTCAGCAGAAAGACACAAAAACATGCAAAGTAAAGCGATGAAGGAAGAAGCCGACATCTGTTCAGGCTGTAAAGCAGCTCGACTTCTGGTTCTTGAAGACGTTTCGCCTTCATCCCAGAGCCTTCTCACTTCTAACTGACGTGTGGTGAATGATTTGTTTAAAACTCGACGCACCTTCTCCACTCGGGACTCGATGGGGTCGTCCAGCTCTCTGCAGGAACAAACACATTCAGTCACTGAACCAGTCAGCACAAGCGTTACTAAGAGACACATCATGGAGTTCAGCTGCATTGAGGGAATAGGAATCAGACGACAGACAGCTGCAGTTCCTCTTGCGTCCACCAGGTGCTGCTGTGATCAAACCTACTGGAAGTCGGCCTGTTTCTCGGTGAACACTCGGACGCAGAAGTCTCCGTCCTTGTGCGGCTCGAAGGTGGACGGGACGACCAGGTATTCTCCGGGCGGCAGTGTGAGGCGGCTGCAGACCTCTCGCAGGTTGATGAAAGTCTCAGATCGAGCAGCAGAGGCGTGACGTAGGAAGAAGTTCCGGTTCAGGTGGACGTTCCTCTGACCCGAGTACTGTCAGAGAGACGAGGGTTAGTCTCAAATCAGATGGTCGAGCAGCGAAAAGAACTCACTGTTCAGCAGCATCGAGGTCGGCAGCAGCCTGAAGGTGTTGAAGCTCGTACCTCCTCAGGAACCTGGAACGCAAGAAACGGGACACAAGGTTCAGCCTGAACCTTCACCAGTCTGCTCAATCATCTAAACCTCTTCTGCTCCGTCTCAGGGTCCTTCACTGATGTTCATGTTCCTCTGCAGCATAAAGTCCTGCAGCTCTGAGGAACCAGAACATGAAGGAGGCAGAACTCAGACGGACTCATGTTGTAAAAAACGGAGAGAACGCCGTCTCCTCCTCCTGAACATGGAGATGGTTCAGGAGGAGGAGACGGCGTTCGCCTCCTCCTCCTGAACCATCTCCATGTTTCAGCCTCTCCAGACCTTCTCTCTGCTCATCTGTGTTAAAGCATCCTTTAAAGTTAGAACATCGTTGGATTTAGTCTCAAACAGCCTCCGTCTGAGCTGTCACTCAGAAAGTCCTGAGCCAATGGGAACACACCCCTGACACACCTGTCCAGGTGACACATCAGACCGCACAGAGCAAAGACCTGACAGGACGGCTTTCCTTCCAAGGCAACTCTTTATATTGAGTTTTTCACTCAAATTCTTATTTTGGTTTCATGTTAGGAAGTTAACTGTGACTATTTGGCACCATAATGATGAGACCCAGCAGCAGAGGTTCCCTTTAACAGAAACGGACCAATCAAGGCCTTTGGATCCAGACCTGAGGAGTCTGACAGTGAACTGTGCTGGTTGGAAGCTTCCAGAAACCTTTGAGGAACCTTAAGACAACAGTGGTTCTGATGCCTCCTCACCTCATAGATGGCGAAGCCGACCGTGTGCATGTCCTGACCCATCTTCCTCATCCGTCTGCGGTTCTTCTGGATCAGACCGACCACGAAGGTGCAGCCCGCCTCTCCGTCGTCCGGGTCGTCGTCCTCCTCGTCCAGCCTGATCACGAACTGAGGATTCGTCCAGAACGTGTCTGTGAACCACAGAGAACATCAACAACCTTTGAATGAACGACGAAACGTTTTAATTGCTGAACTTAAAAACAGCAAAAACAAGAAGCTGACGTTTACCCACTAAAATGTGATTAATGCTCTTTGTTTCTGCTTCTCTCACTTCCTGTTCACCAGATTTCAAACGATTGTTACAGAGTTTTTAAACATCTTTGAACCTCAAAAGTCGTCGGCAGCTTTAAGAGGCATCTCGTCTTGAAAGAAAAACTAATCAGTACAACGACACAACTTCTCAGCAAGAAACTATAAAACCAGAAACACGTGGAGATCGTTAAACATCTGCAGCATGTGGAGACAGCATCAGTTCCAGGGTTGGACGTGAGGATTCCAGGTTTATACACCTTTGTTAAGTAAATAATCAAAGAGGAAACGTTGCTTCTCTCTGGTCTCCTTCATTCTGACTGAGTCCTGCTGACAGCAGACGTCTCTGAGTTCTGTCTCCTCCTTCATGTGGTTCTGCTTCCTCAGAGCTGCAGGACTTTGTGCTGCAGAGGAACATGAACCTCAGTGAAGGACCAGGAGACAGAAGCTGCTGCTGGAGCTCAGAGGGTCGACGTCCACACGATGCTCTCAGGCGTGATTTCACCTGATAAGCTGCTAATAAATGTGAGAGCTGTGACTGGATGATACAGACTCAGTCAGGAAATGCTGGTTTCCATGTTAGCAGCCAGCAGGGGGCGCTGCTAGCACTACCGGTCACTCACTGGGGTAGTTCCTGCAGCCTCCAGCGGTGGATCCTCTC